ATTATTATTATTTATTTTATATTAATTAATATTGTATTGTAATTTTATTTAAAAACAGCATTATTCATAATTCTAATTTTGTTAAATATAACAATAATAATAATAAGGATTATTATTATTATTGTTGTTGTTTTTTTAATGTATATTTATATTGATGCATAATCACAAAATGTTGGGACAAATTGTGCAGTCCTACAGACTAGCACAGCAAATCTTGAGCTTTTTTTATTGCATTTTAAATCACATTTTTATCAGAAAAAAATGCAATTATATTTTTCCCCCAAATCATGCAGCCATATCCGTGTTGTTCACAGTACATGGAAGACAACTCCCACAGTTTTGGACACTTCCGGGAACCGGACTACACCGGCTCATATTCGCCTTGGTCATGTGACACCTTCGGTTCCTACATTGGCAGCAAAGATATAAAGTCCAAGGAGGGCATGAACTCCATGGACACAGTAAGTTTCGCATGTTTAGAGGTACATAAGGGATTCTCAAGCAGGTGTATTTTTACCAAAAAATAAAAATGGTCAAAGGCACACATTGAAGGAGAACCTGAGCTTAAAATTTTTTTTAAATTTGAGATATTTAAAGCTGAAAGGCTTCACATTGCAGGGGGATTTTGTCCCGTTTCTCCCACACATTCAGATTTGTGCTGTTTTCAGTGGCTGTTCCATTACAAAAGGTTATCAGTGTTTATTCTGTCTAGTTTGTACTAATCATACTATTGACAAACCAAAGGCCATAAATATATCACAGGCGACCAGTGAGTTTTGTTAATGGATCAGGCTTATTCCATGTTAACGCTTGGATAATATTCTTAAATATTAAATAGTGAAGTTGGATGTATTTAAATAATAGCATGCTGAATAATTAGCATATTCAAATAGGATTCTTGAGCTAACTGTAACCATTTCTCGCAGCAAAATATAGACAAAGGCAAAAGTCTGAGAGCACATGGCTTGGAGCTTCAGCGCAGAGCAGCAGATGTCAAAGACGACGACCCCATCATTCCCTTTGGCTCCCTGCCCACCGTGTCTCGTTTTGGGGCCATCTCGCGCACGTCTAAACCGGGCTACCCGCCAAACAGTCCCATGCCACCCTTGCCAAAGTCAGCCAAGCACACCGCTTCAGCTGGTACACTCCTCCTGCTTTGTGTCAGCATTGCTAATGGGACAACATGATTATTTCAGTGTTTTTGAATGGTCTTTGTCTTCTCTTTAAGCTGACTACTCCTATGCGAATCACAGCGGGTGGAGAGGCGACTCTTACCAGTCACACCAAACGTCTCAGGGGCACTTCAGCGAGCGGTATGTCTCCAGCCCCACCCTTTACAATAATCTCTTTACAATAAAATCTAAAGTTTTATTCTAGAACTGTTCTAAATGAGTGAAATATTTTCCGCTTATCCCGCAGATCCAGTTTATCCCCTGCCGTGCAGGCGCGTGAGCAGCTGAGGATGGAGCTACAGCAGGTCAACCTCCAAATCAGCCAACAGACGCAGAGTCGCGGCCTGGAGGTGAGACTGTCTGCCCTGCTGGATGTGTCATTTTATAGGCCTGTTCACATCTTGTCCGATCTAACTAAATGACACCAAAATATAAACTATTCACTTAAAACAATATATGCAGTACATAAAAATGTATTTTATTCTTTTTTATTTGTATATTAGTGCAGTCAAACGATTAATCGCATCCAAAATAAAAGTT